ATGTACAGCTAGCGGGACAACAATTCTGCCAAGCAGTTGCTTGTTGCATTGCACCCTCTTAGGGCAGTTGGAAGAACAATTTGAAGGATAATGGAGCTGCTTTCGACCTTTTAGGAACGAGACATATGGTGCAGGTAACAAGTTAGGAGTCACTAGCCCGGGCCTAGCTATTTTTGATGGTATCCTAGTATAGATATATTACCAGGTAATATGAAATGAGTTTGGAGCATGAAAACAGTGGCACCAATTTGAAGAGAGTAAGATAAACACAAACAACAGAAACTCATACAAGGTTACATCACCTTATGAAGAAGAAAACATGACTTCTTCTATTAGACACAAGACAAACAAGTACAACATACCCAATGAAAAACAAAGACATATGATCTACTTTTATTACTAGACACATTGCATGCCCCATATTTCAGACTGTTGCCTGCCTCTTTCCTTATCAGCCAAATCGAGCCTCAATCATGTTGTCCTTTGCAGAATAGCAGACAGGGCATACTGTAAGATTGATTCCACATGACTTGCATGCGCAGAGGTGTTGACATGGCAGGATTAGCATACAAGCATCACGGGCACAACAAATCTTACAGAGAAGACTGGTATGTGTCCTCCCTATAGAAGCTCCCTCCATGTTCGGTGCTTGACTACAAGAGCCAGTAGACTCTAATTCAGTGGATAAACCATGTGCATGGACATTTGTTGCTTGCATAGGAGGCAGCTGGGAAATAAGCGACTTATTCATTTCATAAAACCCTGTAGCAAAGTACTGCAATTCATCCCTTTCCTGTAATACAGTTTGGACAAACTCTTGAGTGTTGTGCAGTTCCATGCGTAAATAGGAAATTTCTTCATTCTTTCGCACCAACACATCTCTTGCCATTGATTCAGCAAAGTTTAATAGAGTTTCATTTTGTGAAGATATCTGTTGATGCAGTTCTACTCGTACCTGTTCATTCTGTTATAGAAATGAGATGAAATGGACAAGAAGAATTAGAAAATGTCATCAAAAACTTCAGAACAAATAGCTAAAGTGAAAACCTACATGTGCTTGAAGAATTCGGTCTACTTGTTGCTTGTGATGATCAAGAGCAGTCAAGAATGGTAACCGGGATATTTGTTGATCACTGTCCATATGGCTATACCTAAACCTTGTTGTTCCGTAGATTGATTGTCTTGCCTTGGATAAGAGTTATGGCAGTCCACAGCAGGTTCCTGAACAGATGGATGCCTTTTATAGCGAAGGACCAAGGGTGGGCAATCTACAGAATGATATCTTTGGCAAGATACAATAACTCAACACATTTATTTTTATGACTCATGTTCATGAATAACACATCTACACACAAATCGAGGTACTCTGCTTCTTACCTAACATAATTCATTGCTAAAAATACACGGTGTGGGCTGCACCTAATTCAAAGGCTGGTCAAACCAGTAGTTGATAAGCACATGATGTTTTTTGTCGTAAATGCGCGTGTATCTGTATCCTGTATAATAAATTTCTACATATATTAATGTGTAGGATTGTGTGGTAGCCCTCAAAGGCAGATCGAAGGATTCAGTCTTCCACCGTTCTATAGAATCAGATAAGAGAATAAATACATGGGATGCTTTGTTCATAAAGCTAAGAAAACAAGTTTCTTAAAATACTATCAGGTTGCTAGTACATTTCTTACACTCATTAGTCATTACTGACCCACATTCTACACATAGTTAGTGGATATTATATCATTACTTATTAGCCACCACTACGCCAGAATTGATAATCACTGTCGGGTCAGAATCAATCATCACTACCAGCATCTATGTCGACAGAGGTTAATCGATAATGATAGGGGTGGCATATAACTGCTAGGTTGGTGACTCGGCAATGATAATAGGAGCAACACTACCGGGTCACAGAATCACCGCGACAAGCATTGTTGTTCGTCGGGTGTCACTGAGTGTGTGTCTCCGGTGGCTCGGGTGGACTCAAGAACACAAGAATCTCAGAGGGGACGCAACGGTTTATCCTGGTTCGGGCTATCGGGGCCCTACGTCCAGCAGCTGATGATGCTTATACTCAAGAGCACCCAAAATTTGGGGGGTTACAACAGAGTGTAAGAGAGAGATTTGGTAGGGGATTGCTCGGTGTTATCCTAAGAAGCCTCGTCGCCGGTGAGATCTTTCCCCTCATCGAAGAGGAGGAAGACGGTGGAAGCGGGGGAGGAGCTCTCGGTACTCCTCTCGGGGTGGCTCTGCTCTCGTTGCAGAGCTTGAGCTATCTCGTGATGACTCGAATGATCTGTCTCAGTTTTGGAAATCGTCCTCCCCCCTCTAGGATCCGACCTCCCCTTATATATCGAGGTAGGTCAGGTACATGCCTGTTTGGGGGGTTTCTCCTATGATCTACATGCACCAGAGTCCAGGAGTTTCTTGTAGCGGCGTCGTGTGGACCTTAGCGTTGTCATGGAGCCGAAGAAGCGTTGGGCGTCGTCCGATGGGTCTGTTCTGACACGCTGAGTGCCAGGCTATGTCGGCTTCGTCCGGCCTCCACCAGGTGCACCTTCTGGAGGCTTCTTGGTGGCAAAGGCAGCCGGCTTGAGGGGCTGACGTGTGGGCCCAAAAGCCCCCGAGCCCCTGAAGCCAGTGGAGGAGTTTGTCTTCTTGGGTCACGCCCCGTGCATGACCCTATCGGAGGAGCGGTTGACAGGGCGTAGTTGTTGGATGGGGAAACCTTGAGCTCCCAATGATGGTGGCAGCATCATGGCTGCCCACACAGACCAGGCCTAGCAGCAGTGGCAGTACCTAGAGGGCCCACACACAGATCTTCACCCTTGCGATTTAGGTACCGAGGAGCTATTGTAGGGTGATTTTGTAAATGGCTCCTAAATGAGAATTTAGAGTGCGAGTTAAAGAAATAATGTTAGGTCATATTTGGTTCCTAGTAATTGAGAGGAATTGACAAATAATCTAATAATGAAATAGAAAACACTTTCTAAATATTGGTTTCAATTTAAAGCATTCAAATAGACCCTTAGATATATAGAGAAACACACCATACCAACAATATATCTCTTATAGTTTTATATATATTCTTTTTAAGAGATAGTGGATAATTAAACTGCGATAGATGCTAACACATCACGACAAACTAACTGTGCTTGACTGGATCTAAGGGATACGACACAACCATATCAGGATTAGGGTTCTTATGATTGAGGATGCCCACGAGATGTAAGGAGGACGAAGTGGTCGGAGAGGTAAGCGTCTGACTTCACATCCATGATTTACCTACCCCATGACTCTGATGGTGGCGGAGTGGTGGTGCCTGCTGTGGTGGAGTCTGCTTGATCCATTCTGATCCGCCATGAAGCCCACGAGGCATCGAGACACTCCTAGTCTGCCGGGCGGGGGCACGCACTGCATGTGTTCGGACACCTAGCTCAAAGGAAAATTATAATAAAAATAATATAAAGTTAGAAAATTTTATAGGCCCATTTCGCACATATAGGATCACTGAATTCACCCCACTTTAGTCGATGAGGTGTTCGAATCTCCATGTGGTTGCTAGAGTTTACTGAATTTGATGATTGGATAAAAATATATATAGAAATTGAAATCAATAATCACATACGACAATTGAATATGAGCACCCCATCCAACACATGGATGTTTCTTATTAGGTGCCTCTTGGTTCGATTGCCTTGACTCACAGCATCCATTGCTCTCTTTTTCTCTGAATGTGAAACACAACTTTGTCGGACATAGCCCTAAAGTCTCATTAAGGTAGTCTTTGGTTGGACATAGCTCGGCGTCGCGTTTTATAGGAGGCTGGCCGGGCAGGGGCTGTGCCACCGGCTCGCCTATTCGCCTTGGTGTCCCTTTGGCGGGACAACGGTGGCACAGAGACAATGAGGCATGCTGGCAAAGTAAAGACATGATGGGATGGAACGGGCAGACTAAACAGGATAGCAACACGTTCTGGGGTGGTTGGCAATGCAGAGCGGCCTTGGGTGCGAGTTCAGCCTTGTGCTGCTGCCTTTGTACGTGCTTGTTTGCTATGCTGTGCGCGTGTTGCTTCTGTTGTTTCTATGTGTGCTGCACGTGCTGCAGGTGTGTACCATATTGGTTGCGTTGCTTCTCGTGCATGGTGAAGGAGAAGGAAAAGGGAGGTAGCCAGGTAGGTAGAGCCTTTATATCATGATGGCGTCAGCGTAGTTGTGGTCGGCGGAGGGGTCTGATGGGGTGATGCAAGCTGATGTTGCATGAGGTGATGTCAGGTGCGGATGATGTTGGGTGAGGGCGATTGCTGGTGTCGCATGCCGGGGAGGGGGGGGGGCATGCAGATGCTATCGGGTGAGGATGAAAGAGATCGAGACCTGGAGGTCAGCTCATTATGTTGTCACCGGGCACGATGTGCGGCACACATGTTTGGGTGTGGAACTCATAGGCATGTAGGTGGAGCTTGAGATGGATATGAGCTTCAGGGGAAGTTCAAATAGAGCTCAAATGATGTCTGGTTTTTGAAACAAATTTTAAAAATACTTTTGAGTATGAGTGATTTTAAAAATTTGAGTTTTCAGGGTGAGCCGAATCATCCACTGAGCCGGCGGTGATTAATTTTATCACTGCTATTTTTGAACAGGTGGTGATAACCTTGGTTATCTCAGCCCACTTTCACAAACCACGGCTAAAACCAGCAATGAAGGGGGCTCACAAACCGGCAATGATGAGCATTGCGTAGAGTGAAGGCATGCAATGGTGTTCAAATATAGATTAAGGTAATATTGAAATATGTTGGGATCATGGATCATGGAAACAACTACATTGGTATGAAAATAAAATAACATAAATAAATATAAATCACTGGACTACAAGGTTACATCACATATAGGAAATACAAGCCTCCTTTCTCAGTCACATCTGATAGACTACATTTCAAATTGTTGTCTCCTCTTTACTTCTCAGCCAAATCGAGCCTCATTCATGTTGGCCTTTGCCGAATCGCATCAAGGGCACATGTTTAGATTTGCTACACAAGACTTACATGCACATAGGTGTAGGCATGGCAGGATTAGCATACAACCATCACTAACACAACAAAGCTTGCAGATAGGAGTTGGATGTGCGTTCTCTATAGTTGTTTCCTCCATGTTCATTGCTTGATTACAAGAACTTCTTGAGCCTAATTCATTGGATGAAGCAAGAGCATACACATTTGTCCCCTGCATAGGAGGCACCAGAGAAATAAGCAACTGATGCATTTCGTATGTCCCCTCAGCGAGGTACATCCACTCATCTCTGTCCTGCGATGCAGTTTGCAGAACCTGCTGAGTGTTCTGTAGTTCCATGTGCAAATGGGCAATCTCTTCATTCTTTTTCATCAGCACGTCCCTCGCCATAGATTCTGCGAGGTTCAACAGAGTTTCCTTTTGTAAAGATATTTGTTGTTGAAGTGCAACCTGTACCTTTTCATTCTGTTAAGTGAAAAAGGAAATAACAAAAAATTAGATTTAGAGAAATTCAGCTTAAACTTCATAATTGAAGTACTTGAAAAAACCTTACATGGGCTTGAAGAACCTGGTCCACTTGAAGCTTGTGCTGCTCAAGGGAAGTCCTGAATTGTGACCAGTTTATTTGCTGTTGGCCATCTATATTGCTACCTGGAGTCTCATTCAGCAATACAACGGAAAGGAGGTTCTGTGGTTGTTCTGAAGGCTGATTGGCATACAAAGGATGGGAGTTCGAACAATCCATTGCAAGTAGCAGACTTATATGGAATGTGAGTTTGACTGAATGAGAATAGAAGGTCGCTATTTATAGCGAAGAATGGATGGTGCGCAATCAACCGATTGAATCACCTATATCTTTTGAATGATACAATAATAACTCTACTCATTTAATTTGTGTGTTTCCAAAGGGCATCTACATGCAAGTCTAGGTACTCTGTTGCTTACCTATATTAATCACTGCTAACCGACGACTCCTCAAATGATGAAAAACAGATACCATCAAACTAATTCAAAGTCTAGTCAAACTAGTAGTTGATAAGCACATGACGTCTTTCCATTCATAAATGCTTAATTGTCGTATTTATTTTTCTTACACCTTATGATCTTTTACTTACATATCATATCCTTTGTTCATAGTACTAAAACATAGCATATCTTTGTTCATAGGGCAAAGAAAATAAGTTTGAAATTTTCTTATTTGATAAGTAATATATTGTTGGTGCTTGCTATTCATCATCACCATTTCGTACTTAATTAGTGGATACTATAAAATTTATTCCACTTAGTGATGACTACCCCGCTCCTAATCGCAAGTATTTATGAGTTTCGTATTCAATTCAACTAACTTACAGATTTAAATGAGACTTCTACAAGAAAACATAAATTTTGTTTAGCTGGTGGGTGTGAGTACTATGTGGGCGACATAGTCTACCCTATAGTAAAACTTTGTAATAAATTTACGGTCACAAACATCTCACGATGTAGAGACCAGGATTTTTTTCATTTGCCCGATGAAATAAGTTTCCCTTTATCTAAAAAAAAAGAAAAAACATAATGGCATAGAAGACACATGATTATCTGGAATTATATAATCATTCACACGGCTTCATCGACAACCACCAAGTGACGTTGACAAACCCCACCTCTAGTAGATTCCTTGAAAAAATCAAAGTCATTCTTGCCAACAAGTATGATCTAACACCGATAGAATAATTCAGAAATCATTTGTGTAAAATTACAGCTAGGGTAATGCCACAAGATAACAACCATTGCTACATGACAAAGATGCTCAACGTGAATTCCACCTAAAAAATTTATCAAATGCTAAATGGTAAAAAACTATATATGCAACACTAGAAACAACCTCATAGACAAAGAAGTGATGTGATACAATATACAAGCTAACTAGTCTCAAGAAATATCATGCTCAACCATGCATTGAGGGTAAGTTTGGTCACTAACTAGAAGCTCGATATGACCATCCTCGATGAGGCGGCCGACTGTTGCATGATTTGCTTGGAAATTGAGGAATTTGTACATGAGAACATATGTAGACAAATGAGTTTTTTCATTGTAGAATAGAAAGAGAAAATATTTGTAGACAAAACAACTATAAAAAAGATGGAGAACTAACAAGTGGGTGAATGGAAGGATCTTATGTCACATGGAAAGGAGCCCTAAAACCATATTAGCCAACATACCCAGCTCTTGAAAATAGAGCTTATGAGAATCCATAGGCAAGAACATGAATCTTGTATGTGACTATGTTACATAGCACCTAGGGTGAAAAAGGGGAGTGCCTCCAATAACATAACAACCTGCTTCGTTAGCGAGTCCTGAAGACTAGCCATGGAACCATGAACCTCTATTGCATTACTATGATTACCTCAACAAATCCAGCTCTAGGGTACAGGGACTTCTTGAACGCGAGGATGAGCACATATTCTACTGGTGTGATCTCTCCTAGTGTCCTCAAAGAGTTAGGACTGAATGAGTTTCTAAAAAATAACCAATACAGTTTTGGCTGGCCGGTGGTAGCGTGCCGCCTGGAAGTGCATGCATAATGAGGAGGTACTGCTCCTGGGAAACATAATTCATGAACCTGAGTGATGGGAACTAATTCAACACCAAGAGCTTTAGTTATGTAGCAGAGAATATCCTCACCTAATCCGCCACATATTCTTGTGATCCGCCAACAAGTCCGAAGAGTCTGGCATATATGTCAAATGACCCTCATCTCTTCCTTAGTGTCTCCTACTGATTTTGCCATGCCTTCAATCTGTAATTCGATGGTGCGCAGAACTTCACATTGCCGTCTTGGATGGCCCTCATAAAATTGGTCTGCATTGCAGTCCAAAATGGGCCTCGTGAGGTGGGTCTTGGTTCGGGAACCAATCGTCTAAGGAAAGAAACCTCAACTCCTGAATCTTGCTACATCTCATTCTCAACAACTGGTTGGCAAAGGAAGCAAGGGGAGTAAGAATCATGTGTCATGCCACTTGGTCAAGTTGTCTCTCCCTCCTAGCTTTGTCCTACAAAGTTTTCCAAGCTAAACCAATGTAAGAATGGTGCCCACAGCGTCGTGAATTGCAACATTGTGTGGTATGCCGCTTGGTTCTCAACCTCATGATCTCATCCTTCTCGCAATCCCATTCTTGCTGACCTTCTCAAAGGCTTGGTGGTGTTCTTTTCAATGGATAGTATAGAATAAGTGACTCTCTTTCCCTATCTTGGCTCCTTGTCCTTGTCTAATGCACACGATGAGATGTAAGTATATTGTCCTTTTAGGGTTCGGTATAAATGGATTACCTAGATTTATTGAAGAAAGATGGCCAAAAGAGATTCTAGATGGGGTACAGTAGTACAGGAATGCCGGATTAGACACTGGTGTTTTCCTAGCACGAAGCAAATTATACAATGTAACACCTAGCCCATTAGAAGCCCGTAATGGTTATAAAGTTGGTCCATGCAGCCCATGTGGCACATGAGGAGTTGTAGTTGGTGGGTTTAGTACCACTTAGGAAGTTTAAGAGGGTGATGGCCAACCTATAATTCTTGGCATTCCAAACATAGCACCTCTGGATAAACCCTTTTACATAAAGTGAGGACGAAAGTGTAATCGAGGTGCTACGTGTATGAGGGCCCATTCCATGTGAGGAGCTAGGCCATAAGAAGATTTTGGACGAGGGGTGCTACAGTCCTAATATCCATTCACTTCTTGCATGGATGTATTGGCAACACCGACAATCTTCCGTTTACCTTGAAGCATGACATGTCTACCCTAATTGGCCAGGTCTTTTGCATAGAACACTTTTACTACATGTTTTGCCCTTATGAAAGGTTCTTGTCTTAATCCCATGGTGTTGAGATCCACGATAGTAATACACCCTTGTTCATCATGACCATCCTGGGATTTGTTGGGACAACGATGCCGGTAGGGTTGAGGGTAGAAGGCCTCTCGGTGGAGGCTAGCTGGAGAAGGCCACTTGGTGAAGGTTTCATGTAGGGATCCTCCGACAAAGGTCTCGTGCAGAGGTCCCTGGATGGAGGACCCCACACGAAGGATCCAGTAGAAGGTCCTCGAACGAAGGTCTCTGGACGAAGGCCTAGGGAGGGGACTCAGTAGTTGCCGGGGAGAAGATCCCTGGATGAAGGCCCGGGGCAAAAGCCTGAAGAGGGGACTCATTAGGGTTTGCAAATGAGTGGGAAGAGAGAGAGCCCATTGCCCTCATGCTCTTAGCATTATATATATAGGCAGCGGCAATTTACATGTGGCCCCTTGCGTGGGGTAGAATTCATAAAGTACTACACCAACCCCTATTGGCAGAGGTGATATCATTGAAGATGGTGGCAAAGCCCCTAATGCCAATGAGCTTGTTGAAGGTGATGCCGATGTAGACGCTGATGGTGTTCGTGAAGCCCCTCGTGGAGAAGGTGTCGGCGCAGGCTATGTTGGTGTAGACGCCGAAGGTGTTGGTGAAGCACCTGTGGCAAAGGTGTCAACGTAGGCTAATGTTGTTGTAGACGACGAAGGTCTTGGTGAAGTTCCTTTTTGCAGAAGGGTGAAGAAGTCTTGTGAAAATGCACCTTAGTTGATAGGGTGCATTTTTCATCGAATATCAACTTGCTGAAAGTTTTTAGACACTCAAAAAGACACTGGCTTTCTGCTTGCTGTAAAAGATGGTTAGTCATTTCATATAATATGCGAGTGATGAAGTTTTTTATGCTTTTGATAGAGCAAAGGTCAAGATGCCTAATTATGGATAGGTTTTTGTCGGGTGAAGTTTTTGAAAGTGGCGGCCTAGATGCCTGATTTTAGACAGGTCTTTGTCGGGTTACCGCGGTGCCATACATTTGCATGAAAATGTTAAAAGGGATAAACTTATCATGCACCTTGCAAAAATGATAGTTATGCTTGAGGAAAGGCTAAGGTCTGCGCATAAAGAATGATGCCCTCAAATGAGAGAGGGTCATAGTTTTAGATGGCTAGCGAAGCCTACCATTTAGTATCCTACGTGGTTAGTTTCATGTGAAGGTTAGCTCAAACAATTTTTGGTTGATGCATAGAAGAAAAACATGAAAAAAAAGAAAAATTGAACAATACAACCTGCAAAAAAAGAGGGGAAAATGTTAGTGTTTAGAGGGTTCAAAGGGTGGGTGTCTGCTGGAGGTCGATTATTGATGGAGTCTGATTGTTGGTGAGGTCTGATGGTTGATGAAGTCTGCTGACTAACGAAGGCCGCTAACTGACGAAGGCCGATGAAGGCAAATGACTGACGTAGGTAACTAACTGACGAAGTCTAACGATCGACGAAGGATGCTAACTAACGAAGGCCAATTAATGACGAAGGTTGTTGACCGATGATAACCAATTGTAGTTGAAGGCCACTGACTAATGAAGGTCGTTGACTACCGAAGGCCAATAACAGACGATGGCCGCTGACTAACGAAGGCCAATGAATAATGAAGGCTAATGACTGATGATAACCAATTATAGATGAAGGCCACTGACTGATGAAGGCCACTGACTATTGAAGGCCAATGAATAATGAAGGCTAATGACCTGATGATAACCAATTATAGATGAAGGCCATCGATCGATGAAGGCCAATAACTAACAAAGGCCAATGAATGACAAAGGCTATTGATTGATGATAACCAATTATAGATGAAGGCCATTGATCGACAAAGGTTGATTTTTGTGAGGGATACTAACTAATGTAATTTAGTATTGTCAAAAAATGT